TATATCATATATTACTTGCTGACTGGATTAAAAAATTATTTCATTTGGTGATTAACAGTTCATGAAGTACCCTTCTTTAAAGATCAGAAACCAGTCACACAAAAACTTGGATAGACTTTCGTACGAAAGAATTGCAAAAAAAATAATAAAAATTAAGAAGGGAAGTTTACTTACCGTCATTAATTAAGTTAATGTCTGAAAAGGAGTTAGCGAACTAACACAATATTTTAATTTCTTCCAAAGAAGCTTTATTTCGAAAGCTCAAATTAAAGATTTTTCTCGCGTTCATTTTATCTGACCTATCAATTGATATTAATTATTGATTGAATAAATTCAGTCTCTTTCAGTTCAGAAATCTTTTCCGTAATTCAATAAATGATTCTCCACCAAGTTTGCTGAAGATAAATAAAAATTGAAATGACATGAATCGAATTAATATTTCTTTTGCGCTTCTCCTTTTTATAGTTCAGTATAGAAAAAAACTAAGTTTATTCATAAAAATTAAGTCTGGTTCAGCAACAGTTTGTAAACCTTCCTCGTAATAAAATTGGAAACCAAGCATTCAAATTATCTGATAGTCATTCAAACGAAAGGAAAGAAAATGAAAATATTTTTTCATGGTGAAAAAGTTTACAAACTGGCACTCAGCAAAACTTTTTTATCTTTCGGTATATCATGAAGCACTGTAGTAAATCATATATACCACATTTTATTTGCTGACTGGAATTTTTTTTTCTTCCAGAACTAAAAAAAACACCGCCAACAAGCCAATTAACTTGTTTGATTATTAAACAATGCTGCACTGTTGTTTTACAATTGTTTTTGATCTTGATCAATAAGGTTTTTTTCCTTGGGCAAACAATTTCGAAACGTGAAGTTATACAACATTAGTTGTCTTAATCTATAGATTGAAAAATTATTTCATTTGGTAATTAACAGTTCATGAAGTTCCCTTTTTCAAAAGATCAGAAACCCGTCACACAAAAACTTGGATAGGCTTTCGTTCGAAAGAATTGGAAAAAAAAATTCTAAGATAGTTTCCAACTTCCAAAAAAGTCTCCATACAGTTTTCCAACTTAAAAGATTTTAATCTATATGAAAATCAAGAGAGAAACTAACGCACTTCCTTCCTCTGACGTTAATGGACTTTCTACACGAAAGCATGTGAAGTGTTGCCATAGGTAGAGAGTTCTGCTTACGCCACCTGCACTAGATCTGCACAATGGGCTATTGACGACGGTCTGGGAAACATCCCGGAGGATGATCCGAAGACATGCCATCACAATTTTGATCCTCTGCCGAGGGGATGGCACCCCCGCTTCGGTAGCCCGACGACCTGCGCGCGAAGTCGAGCACTTTACGGTAGCACAGTTTAACGAGGACCAATACCGCACACCCTTGGTCCCTACGCAGACTGATCCAAGTGGTCACCCACCCGCACACTGACCGCAGCCAGTGATGCCTGACTTCTGTGATCTGCTGGGAACCGTGTCTTAACGACCCATCCATTGGAGTGCAACTACTCAATTTTAAGAGGTGGCTGTATCAATAGAGACTTAAATTTTGCTAATTTTGATGTCCTTTTTTTTTAGAAGAAATAGATAGTCGGAAATGTGAAGCATAAGGATAAATGTAAACACCTTCACAATGAAGTTTACTTTATTGTGATTATCTAAAATTGTCTCAAATTATGTAAATGATATTTAATTTTAATAATTCGCTTTAATAACAAAAAATTCAAGTTTCATTTAATGTAGTTAAATTATTATTCTCTATACGTCCTTACATTTCCCCCACCATATCAGTAAAATTCGGTTGGGAAAAGATGATTTCGATTTGTGTTCTTGTAATTATTCTCATCACTCAAGGTAAGATAAATATGAAGCGAATGCTCTAAATTTCTAATGCTAGAATCGTCTCCAGAGTTTGTTCCCATCGTATCGTTTAAATTTCGTTGTGTATATCACTTCCGATTTTTTACTTTTGTTATGATACTCTTTAGTCGAGGTAAAATTTATATTAATCTAAAATTCTAAATGGGAGATATTTCCTTATCGTGATCTGTTGAGCCAACTACAATCGCCGATGTGCCAAATAGATTTTAAACTTGCAGATTTAAAAAAAAAAAAATATGTAGATGTTTCCTCGGGGGTAGCTACAAGTTATACCTTTCGAGTTTGTCCCTCTCTGTGATAATTTTTTTTTAGTTTCTCGCGGGCTACTGCCAGGCAGTAAAAATCATTCGGAAATAGTAACCCGGAAGTCTTAACAACAAATTTTAACTCCAAATGTCATCTGTGCTTAGCTTTACACAGTCAACCAAACATAATAATATTGCCTCTAACGGGCAAGTATCTTTTTTTTTTTTTTTTCAAATTAAGAGTCTATTTTAAAATGTAATGACATAGTGCATTTTAATTTGTCTAGTCCTGGTTTATACAATATCGGTAGTATAATCTCCCTGGATATTGTTTCAACCAGTTGTACTCATTCATAAAATTTATCCGACTCCATTTATTAAAATATTTCTAGCCTAAAATAACTTCATCATTAACTCTCACCATTTTCATGTTTTTTATTTCAGTTTCAGCTAGAATTCAACCTATGTTGCCTTTTAAAAAAATTAATAAAAACCTATAACTTTTATAAGAATGTGTACAATAAATTGTGTCATCAAATTTATATCTTTTGCAAAGGCTGTTAATCTCTTTTAAACCTGGTGTGTAGCGTTTTTAAAAGAGCCTAAAGGTGCTTTTTTCATTAGGTGTTTTTAAAAAGTGGTTAATTTTTCCTTTTCGATCTTTTCCATGCTGATTTCCTTCACGCATTGAGCAAAAGAATGCTTTTCACATTGTTTAACATTTTCTCAATTCATGCAACCACGATCTATTGTGGCTTTCCGATGCTCCATAGCGTATGAAAGCGCCAATCATTTTATATGTTTGATGAAATACTTGTAAGTCAGCATGTGCGTCTACAGCGCTGGGCTCGGTGAGATTATTGAAATCTCAAGCACAACTCTGCTGCATTTTGCAAGATATTCTTAATTTCATGTTTCATTTTCCACCCTCTTAATATTTAACCCAAAAATTTATTGATCATTTATAATCATTATTATAATGCCTAATAAAATTAAATAAAATAGTTCATTGTCAGAAACTAGTTATTTTATCATGATCATGTAATTGTCTTTGAAAATTATATTGCATTTTGTAAAAGTATATAGTGCTTAAAAATATTTTTTGAGTGCTTAAAAAGTACTTAAAAGGTGCTTATTTTTTGTTGAAAGATAGGGCTACGCACCTTGTTTAAATAATTCTAAATTCAAATAATTTTGAAAGGCTTTGCAAAACTTCCAAAAACAGTTTTTTAGTGCATGTTAACCCGAGAAAGAAAAAAAAATTGAGGGTAAGTGAAAATTTGTTTATAACTGAAAACATGTTTTTTTTTTAACTACAGTACAGAACCTCTTATCCGGAAATCAGAAAACCGGAACGAAATTTGATAAATTTTCCCCGCCATTTGTTTTAAAAAATGTTTTTTCCTCATAAGATTTTAGGATTTTTCTTTCTTTTTTAAAAGATACCTTACCATCATTTTAGAAATAATCACTAGTGTATTATGCGTATTACTTTATCCTTTTTTCTTCTTTTTTAAGATTATTTCTGAATAAATATTTTTTTTAAGTTGAGTTTGACAATAAAAAAACGGCTTTTTGTAGCTATTCAGAAAACCAGAAAAAACAATTATCTGGAATAGTGATGGTCCCAATCGTTCCGGATAATTGGTTCCCTACTGTACTTTTAATTATTGTGTGTTTATTATCTGTCAGTAAAAGTATGCATTGGTGTTTAAGCCCATAAATAGTATATGCAAAAATATATGCATAAAATACTTCTTTTTAGACAGTTTGTGCATTGATGTGAGTTCTGAAGGGCAATCAATGAATGAAGTAGAAGAGAAGAATATCTTGAATGAAGAAAAGAATCTTTATTATCTTCCTCAGCAGACAGTGTTTGGGCAGCCAAGATCTTTAATAGAAATCGATGCTTCAAAAACTTCACCTCCTTCTATAATGATAAAGCCTTCTACTACTCTTCGGATGAAAGAATCTGAACCACCCACCAAAGGTTCTTTATAATAATTGAAAAAAAAGTTTAAAGTATATGACTCAGATAATCTGCAGTGTCCTGTGGCAGAATCGTGGCGACATTGTCTCAGAACTTAACAGATTTTTTGCAGAAATATTTCTCTTTTTGGAAGTAAATAATTTTGATTTGCTTTTCTGCAGAAATTTATCCTTAAGGTTTGAATTGCGCATTTAAAAAACAATCTTTTGAAGTGCTCCATTCATGCCGATGTAAATCCACTTTGATTGTATTTTCGACAGTTAATATTTATCCCAATAAATTTAAGATGATATTAGAAATTTGAAATACTCATTTGATCATTTATTTTTTAAGACAATTATTACTTTTGCTTTCCACATTGTTTTTAAAACCCAATATTTTTTATACAATATTATTTATTTCAACTATCGAGTCTTGAAAAGGATTATGCATTTGAGTAACCTCTTTCTGAAGAGTCCGATGCTCGCGATTTCATCATTGATCTGTTTTTGAAATAATTTGATGTTTTAAATTGTTTTTTTTTAATGTGATGATGTTTTGCAAAATGTGATAAAAGAAATAATTAGTGCATTCCTCGCCCCACCAACAAAATGTAAAAATATTGCCCATAGAATAAAAAAAGATATTACATATTCAATTAAAAAAATTAAATTGTTTTTAGCTCTAGAGTTTTGTTGCAGAAAAGCCGAAAAAATTCTGAGAATGGCTTCTAGAATGGCGAGAAAATTCTGTTAATGACTTCAATATAGGAAACTAATGAGCTTAGTTCTAAGTTAATCAATTAAACAGAATTAAAGCTTAATAGATATTCCTGTGTGGCAGAATTTTTTTGGACTCTCTGTAACATACCTCTCTATTACTCATATCTTTCTGCAAGATACTTTTAAAAATAAATTAAAGTAACAAAAGCATAAAAAAAGAAACCTTTCGGATCAAATAAAATAATTTTTTAATTAAATATGTAATATTTTTTATTCTATTATTGTGGGCTATATTCTCGTATTTTGTAGGGGGATAGGGCTAATTATTTCCTTTTTCACATTTTGTAAATCATCATCCCATTAAAAAAAAAAAAAAGATTAAAGAATTTTTAAATCTGTAGTAGTAAATCGAACTCTTTAAAAAAAGGTTACTAAATACAAATTTTCATTTTGAGATTCAGTTGTTGTAATAAATAATTTATTAAAAATTTCGGATTTTAAAACTGTGTGGAAATCAATAGTAATAACTNAAAAAAAAAAAAAAGATTAAAAATTTTTTAAATCCGTAGTAGTAAATCGTTCTCTTTAAAAATAGGTTACTAAATACAAATTTTCATTTCCAGATTCAGTTGTTGTAATAAATAATTTATTAAAAATTTCGGATTTTAAAACTGTGTGGAAATCAATAGTAATAACTGTATTAAAAAAATTAGAACAAAATTTTCTGCTGAAAAGAGAACCAATTTTTTACCTTCATTAATCTTTATTTTTCATTGTTCTCAAATGAGAAAAGAAAAAGCATTTTTTTTTCCTCAGATGCGTGAGAAAGGCATCTTTTGAATATAATTCTGAAGAAAAGATAAAATCTTCAGAAAATTTCTGCAGAAAAGAAAAACTTTTTACTTCACAAAATCTTTCTGCAAGAGCTCATTCACGTTCTGCAACAATGTCGCCGGGTCTCTACTATTCTGCCACGGGGATAGATATTGTCTCTAAAGATATTTCTCCCTGAAATATATAAATTTTTTTAATTATCTTATTTAAACAACTTAATGCTATGGCATTTTTAATTTTAACTGTCACCTTTAGATGGAAAAAGGATTCCCACCATATTAAACAATGGAAAATTATTTGAACATAATTAATATTTTTTCCATTTAGTTCATGAAAATGTGCAATTCAAATGTAGTTGCCAAAATTTTAAAGGTTTTATAAGTTTTTTTCAACTTAAAATTGGATTCGTATAATTCTTGATAGGTTAAAAGAGAAAAATATAAACTCTTTTTTTTTATTTTATTGAATGCTTTTCAATTTTATTTTAAAATGAATTTAAAATGTTTTTGTTTTTTGTGTATTCCATTTAAATATGTTTGCATTATTTTTAATGGAGTAGGGTGTTTTATATTTGTGTTTTTAAATAATGGTAATTAAAAATAATAAATAAAACAGCAGTTGAAACAAATATAGTTTGTCTACGATAAGAACTCCCCCCGCCTCAAAGTCTGTGGAAATGAGAATGGCCCATTTTAGGGAAGGTAGCTTTTCTTCACTCTAGGGTTAACACAATAGACTGAAGAAAAAGAATTCAAGAATTTCCTGTCCTAAACAATGACCCCACCCCCTAATTTAAATAGTCATACCTCGCTGTCACTGCCATGGGTCCAGACAAAGGGCTAGGGGAGTTCTTAATTTAGTAGACTAACTATACAACTTCTATCAAACACAATAAACTTAATTGCATTATTTTTGTTATTATAGATTTTACTGGTGGTCGAGCTTATTCCAGCTTTTGCACTTCGGAAGTCAGTTCAAAAGAAGTATTAAATTCAGAGTTACTGCCTTCAAGGGATATTTCAAAAGAGGTAAGTTTCTTCAATAGAGGAAAATATTTTATCATTTTGCTCTGCACTCATAATCAGGGACAGTGGAGCTCTTGCCCCTTCACATTTTATAAAAGTTAAAATATTGAGAAAATATGGAAAATAATAAAAAATAATGACAAGAGAAGAAAAATCATTAAAATTATTTTTTAAAAGTATTTAAAAAAATATTTTTTATTTATCTAAGAATTAAAAATTTGGAAAACAAAATAAAGGTACACTATTACCCTGTAATATAATACCTGGTCCAATTAAAATATTATAGGTCAATATTAAGGTCCGATACCGTGCCGTTATTTATTATTGAAAAGTGTCTTCGAATTTCCTTGTTTTAATGCACTATTTAAAATATACATAGTGTACCCCCTAATTCCTTATTAATTATACGCACACATAGTAAAATACAGGAACTCATTGTGTTCCCTCTAATTGACATATAATTATTTCCCGTGGTAGGGTACACTATTACCCTGTAATAAGTGAAGAGGGACTTCGCGCTTCCTATCTTTAAAGGGTTTTAGAAGGCGAATTTCCTCATTTTAAGCTCTTCCGAACACTTATTTTAGATACGC